CGATTCTTTGCAGAAAATTGAGGATTTAGCAACTGTTACCTAACAAAAATGATGTTGATGCTATGAAACTGCGCTTGGATGATTTGGAACAATCAGCTAAATGTAACTCTCTACGGATTTGCGGCTTTGAGGAGAATAACGGGTGCTCATACGAGATCACTTTCCGGCTGGCATTTTTTTATTTGTCTATCGATATCAACGAAACTTGGTAGGGTTGATATTCTAACCAAACGCCATTTTTATGCATTTATGACAAGTTTTCCTGACTTTCGGTGCCATTGGAAATGACCTGAACTTTTGATTTTTAAATGGCATACCCCGTATATTTTTTGTTTTCCGGATTCTACAGATCGTTTTACGTCCTAATGCACCATTTTTGAATCGAGTTTTGTTCAAATTTTGTTTCTAAATTTAATTTTAATTTTTTGAACTAGAGTGCCATGATTATCCTAAAATGACTACATACATTACCTAATTTCAGAAAAATACAAACTCAATTTTATCTTTGTAAACTTTTGTGATAGAGGGCTGTAAACTTCATTATTTTAGTATTTTCGTCCTAGCTCAAAAACTAGAATGGAAACATATCACTTTCATAATATCACTAAATGCAGTATTTTAAAGCAAATCCAACGATACAATACACTACGACATTTTTCTTAACTTTCGTTCAAATATTTTTGTTTTATTATGTAGGTACCTACCACTTTTAAATCAAGTTTTCTCCAAATTTCGCTTTCAAATTAAATTTTAAGCAGAAAAAAAAAATACCTACATTAACGTTAAACGATCTGTAGAATCCAAGAAACAAAAAATATACAGGGTGTGCCATTTGATAATCAAAAGTTTCGGTAATTTCCGGTGAAACCGGAAGTCAGGAAAACTTGTCGCGGATGCACAAAAATGGCGTTTCGTTAGTATATCAAGCCTACCAAGTTTCGTTGACATCGATGAGCAAATAAAAAAATGGCACCAGGTATATTTCGGCTTCCCAAACACAGCAAAGATCAATCACAGAGAACAGACCTAAGGTCTGTTTCCACATAAAAATCACAAACCAGTCAGAACGCTCATTGGTTGAAAATAGTCAGAAAACTAGTTGTTGGCGATTTTCACCAATCAAAAACGTTGTGATTGGTTTGTGATTTCTGTGAGAACAGAAGGCCGGTATTCTCGTTCTAAAAAACGATCACAGCTTTTTAGTCGCTCGGACATTTATTGCAAATTCACATTAAAAGTGCAGAGCTACTATAAAGCGATAAGCGTTTTCGAGAACGAGAATATCGGCCCACAGGCCTTCGACCGGCGCTCCGATTAGTGTTATTTCGTCGTCTTGTCTTTATTCAACTCAACAGAAGAGTATGCGCAGAAGTTGATCGCTTCGCTTGTGTTTTAACCGAACAGGCGTGGCGCCGTTTCAATCGACTTCCCGCGCCGGTCTGAGGGGTCCCATCCACCCCTGACCACAGACGGCCCCTAATCAAAAAAGTCTTCAGATAAACATTGTAGATCAAATAATGTTGCACATCTTTTATTTGAAACATTTTTTTGTAAAATCTATAGGTACCAAGTAATCGCCAATGGCGCACTTTCAACCCCTATAGCGCAAAACGCCAGAGGGGTGAATGTTTGATATTTTCGGTTTTATGATCACCCACCCTCCCCCTATCATCCCTGAAAAGTCCTTTTGGGTAGGATTTTTTTTTTTTGAAAATTGACAATTTTCCTAGACTAATTTAATATTGCGGGTAGATAGAGTAGCATTATGCCGCTTTTTTGTATTTTTTTTGTAATTCTTTTTGGCTCCTAAATAAAGGCATTTATTATTATTATTATTATTTCGGTGAAAAAGCACATTCTCGGCCTTCGGTGCTTGCCGGCCTCGGCTACGCCTCGTCCGTCAACTTACACCGTCGGCCAAGAATGTGTCACTTCTCCACCTAAATACACTATATACTATTTTGTCATTGCGCCAATTCTCTATACAAGGTGACCCACAAAAATGCCTTACAAGTTAAACGCAAAACAAATAAATTCCAATATTTTAATAATAATTTACAGTAACAGTAACATTTGCGTCATTTCCTTAATTTATATTTAAACTAGCGTAACATATTATAATGTTAGAGCAAGTATCGAAACATGGTGTACAGGGTGTTCTATTTTGGTTGTACTTAAAAGAGATAACTCGGTTGCTATTGGAGTTAAAAGGATGCGGTTTTCACAAACGTTGGCTAATTTTTTGTCAAACGAAATATATCGTCAACAGTCAGTCATTTTTGTTTTTCAGGTACACTAGTCAGATTTTCTCTAGAAGTAATAGTTTTTAAATTATAAGCTGTTAACACACACGTTACGCAATGATTTCAGATTTAGCAGCGGACTACGCTGGGTTTAGATGCGAATGCTATCATTAAATTTGTTTAAGAAATGTATCCATAGGTTTAAAATAACGAAACACACAACGGCAATTATTGTAGAAAAAACAGGGTACTCACCGATTAACTCCGGATTGTAGGGTTCTCTGGGGCCCCAGTTCTTCTCGTGTTTCACAACCACTTCTTCAGTGATACCAGCACATTTTAAGATAGGTCTTCAGTCACAAATAGGGTCGATTGATTAAGCAAAATTGATACAATCGGAGAACACAGAATCTACATGTCCGCCATTCACGAAATTTATGTACTGTCTTCGGCAAGTGCGAATTTTGTACCCTGCGCGAAATTGCAATTGTGTGTTTTTTAAATATTCAAATTTTACCGATAATTTTATTTAGCGTGTGCGCTAACATAAGCCAAACATTTTTTTTTTTTTCAAATAAGGCACCCTGTATATTATTAACTCATTGAATAGCTGTATTTTTGCTAATTTCAATTATATATTGTTCGATAGGTTTTCCTCTAGCAGTTCTGGAAAAAAAAAGAAACTATATGTGTTTTTGTCATAGGAAACAATGTGTTAGAAAAGGACTTTATATCTGTAAGGAAAATGAGAAAGGTTCTCTTTCTTATGACTGAAACAGATATAATTTTTTTTTTTCGAAAACTGTTAGAGATAAATCTTTCGAACTTTGTCTCATTTTTTCAAAAGCACCTCGTATCTGGAAAACCAAAAAGACGTTGAAGATTTTGTTGACGACATCTTTCGTTTGACAAAAAAGTATAGTCCACATTCGCAAAAACCGCATCTTTTTAACTCTAATAGCAGCCGAGTTATCCCTTAAGACTTAAGTACAACCATAATGAGACACCCTGTCTGTCAACTAACATGTTTCGATACTTTTTTTTAACATTATGATATGTTACAATTACGCTAGTTTGCTTGTTTTGCGCTTAACTTGTAAGCCATTTTTCTGGGTCACCTTGTATACTTAGAGAATTTGCGCAAATTGACAAAAAATTCTTATTCTGATAAGTTTTATAACATAACAAAATTTGGAAGAAAATCAACAGGTCGCCAAAATCCCATACCTATAAGGTGTGCGAGGTTCTAGGATTCGGTAATTCTGTGGAAAAAAAAACTTTAAAAATTCTCATTTTTCCAAAATAAACCGCATCTGGCTTTTTTTTTCTCGTTTTCGAGATATTCACTTGCAAAATGTGTCAGTTTATCTAAGGACGCCCTGTATAATGAATCATAATACCTATTTCTAATCAGCCGGAAACTGATTTAAAAAAGTATATATTTTGGACTGGAATAAAATATAATAGTTTACCAAAAAACCACAATCCAAAATTCACTCAATATATTCTATTAGATTATTATGTTTAGTGTTTTACAATGAATCGCTTAGGGTAAACGAAAATTAAATCGAAATCGCTCTCAATAAACTATTTATTTCTTTCCAGATTTTCCTTACATAATTTAATTTTTTTCGTTGCAATCTACTCTAGCACTGCTAATGGTAAGTATCTATGTACCAAATATATATCTATATAGTAACTTCTTTTTTCAATTTTCGAGTATTTGACTCATCTACCCAGTTTCGCCTACCTACATTATTTATTTTTTAGGTCCACCTAGATATTTTATTTTTCGAGGAGAAACCGTTCTACCAGTTGATAGTAATTGTAACTCATTGGAATTTAACGTTTCTGTCACAAAAACGGGTTTTAAGTCCGATGATAGAACGTTAAATGAACAATCTGTGCATGAATATGAAATTCAGTACCAGGTAAAACAATCATGGTACCTATTCAAATTCATCTTCATAACTATTCATTGAGGGGCGTTTAAATAAAATGTCATTTACAGACCTCCACTAATTTCTGTTCAGTTCCAAATTTAGACCACTTTTCAGTGAAATCAAACTATGTTCATAACAATAATAGATTGGAGTATCGTTCGAAGCATTTTTGGTTGCAAAATACGCATTCTAAATAGTAAAATTATTACCATTCTGTTGACAACAATATGCAAATTTTGGTCACGGATTTAAATGAAAAATAGATAAACATATAGAGTAGCACACCAACAGTAAATGTCCAAAATTTCGGATAGTAAAATGCTGGAAAAAATGAATAGAACCGAATTTTCGAAAATTATAATGTTTGTATCACAAAATTAATCAAAATCTGCCAAACAACGAGGTGATTGCTGTCATTTTCAGCAAAGACTCAAACCAAACGTGTGTTCAGCGCTTCTCTAAAAGATGTCGCTGAGTTCGGGAAGGATAGTCACTTCTTTTAAATGCCAGTAAAAACTGTTTCACCTAGCTAAAAATGTGAAATACTATTATTTTATTAGTATCTGAATAAAATTATTTAGTCCACTGTAAATTACTGTGTAAACGAATTGATATTGAAGATGTCGCCATCTACTTGTAAATAAGTCAATCACTTACAGAGAATTTGAAAACCTGTGATTAAAAAATATTTAATCTATGTCATAAAGACCAAAAGATGGCGCGCTGGCTCTTAATTACTATTACTAAACCATACTTATTCAAAGTATGGAAACCAACTCCTCAAAATCAATTGTATTGTATCAGCGTAAATTTTCAACTAGGTGATTGGGAGTACAACATGGATGAAATACCAGAACTACCTTTTAATGGATCAGCCACTGCCAGTGTATATTAAAATAATGGGATTGGAGAAAAATACTCAATATAATCTTCGAATCATTGGCTGCTATGACGATCAGCCAAATTTATTAGACGTGATTGATGATAGAATTATCATCCATGGACCATTTACAACTAGCTGTAAAAGTAAAGTTACTTTCCACGTTTATAATTATTGATAAATTATCTATAAATCATTTGATTAATTTTATATTTTCCATTTGCAAAAAAAAACAAAATTTACAGGTAATCTATTCCTAAAAGACTTTCGAGTCACTCAACAAGAAAACGGGGTGTTGGTGCAATGGGATATAGATAACACTGACTCTTTAAATGATTTTAAATATTTATTAAGATGGGTAAAGAAATTTGCTAGTTTTTAATTAAAAAATATATTTATTTCTTATTTAAGAGTAACCATTCCAAAGCTTGTCCAGCGAACCTAACATCTAACAAACCATGTTGTTATCAATATGTTGAAGCTACACAATATAGTGTGGAAATTAGCACGGAATCATATTCGAAATATATAATGAGCATTGCCATTATTAGAGAAGATACAAAATTGCAAGAATTATTCCAAGCATTCGAAACTAGTTGGAGAGGTAAGCTTGAATTTATTTCATGTGTTTCCATATAGACCAATCGAAATAACTAATTTAGAAAAGGGGAAAAAAAAAAATTGTTACCTGGACTTTTATAGTTGAAAATGGTCAAGAGGCTTACAATAAACGTAAATACTATATTACATACCGAGTAGGGAAGTGTTTCATTACTTACAGAAATGAAAACTTTCCGCCGAGGTTTGTATACTATTTTATTTGCAACCATATATGTAATCTTGACATTACTGACTTTTTGAACATTTGAAAGTGTCACTTTACCTGTGTCACTTCCCTCTTCGATTTCCCTCACCGATTTCCCTATTCGACTTCCCTCACCGATTTCCCTCACTGTAATTTATTTACCTTTGCTGGCAACAATGAGAACATGTCAGGTAAAAACATCAAAACAGTGAATGACACGTTTTGGCATGCTTGTTTTATTTTTTTCATATTAGAAAAATTAAATTATTAATCATAATTAATAGTGTGCTTGCAAATAATAGTTATTTATACACCAAGTGAGTTAAATGAATGTTTATTGATGAGAAGAAAGTTTAACCAACGAGCCCTAGCGAGTGGGTTAATTTTCTTCGATCACATGTATACATCACTCGTGTGATGTATACAAAATTTTATCCCATTTTGATGGACATTTAAAAAATTGAGTACCTAATAGGAATCAAATTATAAAAAGAATTCATTCAGCGAGCGCTAATGTCTAATACCTACTGAAACTGGTAGTTGCTAGGGTATAGCTAGTTGTTTGTTTGTATTTGTAGCAGATTTTTGTACCGGCAGAGTGACTTAAAAGGCTGAGAGTGAGTTAAAAATATTTTAAGTCACTCAGGTGATAAACGTCTACTTACCTTTGTTATTATGCGTTCAATAATGTCATTTTTAAACGTCAAAATGGGATAAAATAGTATACAAATCTCGGAGAAAAGTTTTCATTTCTGTCTCGAGATTAATAGTCAATCTCTCGACAGTAATGAAACACTTCCCTACTCGGTATGTAATATACTATTATTTGCAAGCACACCATTAATTATAATTAGTCATTTAATTTTTTTAATAATGAAAAAATGAAACAAACATGCCAAAATGTGTCACTCACTGTTTTGACGTTTTTACCTGACAGGTTCTTATTATTGCCAGCAAAGGTAAATAAATTAGAGTGAGGGAAATCGGTGAGGGAAATCGAAGAGGGAAGTGACACAGGTAAAGTGACACATCCAAGTTTTTAAAAAGTCAGTAGTGTCAAGATTACATAATGTTTGCAAATAAAAAAATAAATTCCACACGGGGGGTAGTGGAGGGTTGCTTTGGGGGGTTGAAAAGGAATGGAAAATGGTATTATTACGATTTCCGGCAAAATAACACATCAAACCGAAAAATACCCAATACAAGAGTTATAGATCATGCAAATATCTACAACTTTTGTATAGGTCACTTTCAACATAACCTCAAAACTTCCGAGGGAAATGCAAAAAACCATATAGTTTTTAAATTTTCGAGTTTTCTTTTTCATTTCGAACAAAATAATCCAATTGTGACGAAAATTGGTGAAAGTATAGCTTTCTATGTCTGAATTAACCACATTTTTTTTTTTAAATAAAAAAATTGAAAAGTTTCCAAGATATTAATTTTTTTGCAAAAAAAAAATTTACGGTGAGAAATCATCGTACAGAGTTCTGCTTGTGTTAATTATATTTTCGATTCAGAAATTTGTATTTTCAAAAAACATTTATTTTATTAATTAAAATACAATAGTGACAAACGAAAATATGTGGATCAAATTGCTACAGGGAATGCCTGAAAACAAATGAACGCTTCTTAAGGGACTGCGCTGGCTTAAATAAGAAATATCTGCTGATGCAATATTTACGTAGGCGGAATGGTGGTACTACCAGTGCAGTACCGCTGATTAAGCAAATTTACATTATTATATGTTTTGACATAGGCGTACGCTTATAATTATCATAGGAAAGGAGAATTATTAGTATAAAGATAACATAGGGGCTTACAATATAACTCAGCTATACTTTCAGCAAGTTGCGTCACAATTGAATTATTTTGTTCGAAATGAAAAAGAAAATTCGAAAATTAAAAAAATATATGATTTTTTGCATTTTTCACGGTAGTTTTGAGGTTATGTTGAAAGTGACCAATACAAAAGTTGTAGATATTTGCATGATCTATAGCTCTTGTATTGGGTATTTTTCGGTTTGATGTGTAATTTCGCCAGAAATCGTAATAATACCATTTTCCATTCCTTTTTAACTCCCAAAGCAACCCTCCACTACCCCCCGTGTGGAATTAATTTTTTTTATGTTTATTGTGAGCCTCTTGATCATTTCAAACTATTAAAATCCAGGTAACAATTTTTTTTTCTCAAAGTGTAATTTGATTGGACTATAGCAGCGTTTCCCAAACTGGGGGGCGCGCCCCCCTAGAGGGGCATGAAGCAACATTAAGGGGGGCGTAAGTCTTCTAAAAACTCAATACAAATTTTAAGCTTTAAAATAAAAAATCAGTTTAAATTTAAAAGAAGATGTCTACAATCCGGCAACAGCGCATACTTAAGCCAAAGTAGCTTTGCCATGCGATCATCGCTACAGCGCACGCTCACTGGCCACTGTCATGGCCCATTCCTCCTCTCCCAAAGTCCAGTTCAGACGAGTGACAGTAATTAAAAAAATGTTTTTGTATAATGGGTTAAGGAAGGGGGGCGCGACCACTTCTTGATTTCAGAAAGGGGGCGCAAAAGAAAAAAGTTTGGGAACCACTGGACTATAGCATTCAATTGTGTTGTGACTTAGATATTTCAAAACTTATTCTTCACTAATTTATAAAACTTTATGCTTATTATGTTTGGTAAATAGCGTTATAATATCTATCTATGTATTATATTTTATTTATAGATGCTACTATAAATGACAAAGAAAAACAGCTCGCAATAGCAAATACACTAGTAGACGCTTCAAGCATATACTTAACATTTAATAACATGGATTGTGAAAAAATTAAGGGACCAATATTTTTAAATGTTCAAGCATCTGCTTCAAAATCAGAATCAATAGCCTGTTGTAACAGCATTCCTTTGAAACCGTCCTCCAAGATACAATTTCCGACCAGAAATAACACTCTGATGATTGAAAACCTGAGTTCATTTTGCAATTACGATGTCAATATCTTCATGTCGAGACATGATAATTACTGGGACAATAAAGTGATTGGGAACGGATTTAGTGCGTCGACAGCAGGAACAGGTGAAACTATAATAATTGCTTAAATTAAATCCACTCTTCTCCATTACCTTTTTTTTTTCCCGCAATCATTATGGGAAAGGTTTTTTCCTCCATCATCACCCTTCAACGTCAGTTTTAAGAAATTTCTTCTTTCAAATTTTCTGTTTCAGCTGTTGAAAATGTTTATGTTCTATCGTGATGGGGATCACATTCGGAGTTACTTAGGTAAAAATACAGTATAGCCCGGTCACCTGAAATATGTGTATTTTTATTGAAATTTGTTTGTTAAACATCGAAATAGTGCATTAAAAAAAAAACTTTTCAGCAGAAATCAGGAAATCTTTGGTCACCTGAATAGTTCTTTATTGATTAGGAAAATGCAGATTAACCCAAACTAACCCTTATTAACCCGTCCGTATAGTGCTAGCTAGTCCGCATAAGTGAAATAGGTACTGTTTATTTGTAACCGACCTATACTGCACTTTATCTCCGAAATAAATATGCTGCCTAACTCGGTCACCTAAAATATTTATTTTTAAAATGAAAATCGTTTGTTTAACGTCCAAACAGTGAATCAATGACAGAATTAAAGAGTTTTCCGCCGAGTTTGTTCTATCACAATGGACGTTAAGAAGGCAAAAACCAACAGCATCAGGAAGGATTATTAATTTTAATTTATCACATAGCATCACACATAAGGTGGCTATTATTAAATCACTTAAACATAGAGCAAGGCAACTGTCTGACCCTCAGTATATGGATGCAAATTTTGAACGAATAAGGGTATTTTGTAAACAAAATCACTATCCTCTATCTTTTGTGAATACTATTTTGTGTAATAATGCTAATACAGGGTGTCCCAATAGAAAGTGACCGATTTCAAATGCTTATAACTTTTAAACTAGGTGTGGTAGCTACCTGCGATTTGCGCCATTCGACTTTTCTTAGCCTAAAGTTTATTTTCAGTTAGTTGCAAATTTTTTTCACACCTATACAGGGCGAGTAAAAAAAAATGCCGTTTTTCAACATCGAAATTCTCCACTATTTTTAATGGAACACCCTGTATGTTGCAACGCCAAAATTAAGAGTTGTGATCAAGGTATTCATTTGCCAATAAACGTTGGCCTTTTTTGAACCTAGATAAATGCATTTATTTTTGGGCCAGATTTCTATTTCAATTTTATTGGGCTAAAACTTCAAGTTTCATGCCCGATGTTTATTGGTACATCAATACCTTGTACATGACTCTTAATTTTGGCGTTGCAACATACATGGTGTTTCAATAAAAATAGTGGAGAATTTCGATGTTGAAAAACGGCATTTTTTTACTCGCCCTGTATAAGTGTAAAAAAAATTTGAAACTAACTGAAAAAAACTTTAGGTCAAGAGAAGTCGAATGGTGCAAATCGCAGGTAGCTAGCACACGTGGTTTAGAAGTTATAAGCATTTTTTACAATCGGTCACTTTCTATTGGGACACCCTGTATTGTTCCATCTCCTAATCAGGTTCAATCTTCTAATGTAAAGTTTTTCAAAATTCCATTGATTCCGGGCTCAAGCACTAAGTTATCAAAAATCTTACAAACACAAGATAACATTAGGGTACTTCCTTATACAAACAAGAACTTACTTGACTGACTTATTTACTAAAACCAAAGACAGAACCGCTATCTATGATAGTTCTAACTTAGTTTATAGGATTGATTGTATTCATTGTGACAGATTGTACATAGGGGAGACTAAGCAAAAGCTCTCTAAAAGATTATATCACAGTGTGTATTAGAGAAAAAAACTGGTAAAAGCGAAAAATTCTTGAAATGTTGTTTATCAATAAATATGAAAGGGGCAGTTAACTATAAAACTGATACCAATAATTTAAGCGCCATCTATTGCAATTTGATAAATTTATAATTTGTTGCTATCTTTATCGTTAATAGTTAAATTAGAACTAATAATAACAATTTTTTAAATCTTCTCGTTAGGTGTCACTGTGTTGACTGAATAATTAATTTGTCATTGTTTTGCTTATATCTCTGTAATCACTTTGTCCTTTTAATTTTTCTATTTTATTTTTTATATTTTTATATTTTTGTGTTTTTTTGTCTTTTTACAATTTTATCAATGTATTGTGATTTTTTTATGTGCAATCGTATGTTCCATCCCGAAAATCTCGCACTATTATATACAGGGTGTCACCAAAGGTTTGTTACAAACTTCTAGGGATGATAGATCTCGTAAAAATAAAACTTTTTTCTTGATAAACATGTGTCCGGAAATGCTTCGTTTTTCAGATATACAGGGTGGCCCAAATTTGAGCCTCATCATTGGGATCTCGGTAAATGTCACTTCATCATTGTCACTTCTTCCCCTTTAGAAGATGGTGGTACTAAATTTGAAATTCGACGTTTCGTCTTCATGCGGCCATCCTTAACTTACGTTTTTTAAATACGAACCTAGATTTTTTATTTGCGATTTTGTCATCTTTGGGCATCCTAAAACCGATACTGTTTATAATTTTTCAATAACACAGTAAAAAAGCAGGTCCGTATTTGAAAAACGTCGGATTTCAAATTTTATACTGCCATCTTGAAAAGAAGAGAAAGTGACAATGGGAATGTGAAATTAGTTTTTCAAAATCTTTTTGAATGAAATCAGGAAAAAATTTAAGAAAAACGAGAATTTTTTTTTTCCGAATAGTTTTCATTTTTTCCTGATTTTATTTAAAAAGATTGTGGAAAACTAATTTCACCTTGCCATTGTCACTTTTTCTTCTCTACAAGATGGCGGTATTAAATTTAAAAACCAATGTTTCGTTCCTCTGAAATCATCATTAATTTTTTTTTTAAATACGGACCTGCTTTTTTTGCTGTGTTATTGAAAAATTATAAACAGTATCGGTCTTAGGATGCGCAAAGATGACAAAATCGCAAATAAAAAATCCAGGTCCGTAATAAAAAAAAAAGGAAGTTGAGGATGGCCGCCTGAAGACGAAACCTCGAATTTTAAATTTAGTACCACCATCTTCTAAAGGAGAAAAAGTGACAATGATGAAGTGACATTTATTTTAAAATTGCTTTTCAAATAAGCACGGGAAAAAATAAAAACGATTTTATAAAATTTTGTTTTTTTTCCGAATATCTCCGGAAGTATTCGGAATCTTTCTAGTTTCAAAACGGTATTCTATTGGTCATAAAATTGCGCAACTTTGCCATAATTTAACCGACCCCGTATCTCTTATGGTTACCGAGATCCCAATGATGATGAGGGTCAAATTTGGGCCACCCTGTATATCTGGAAAACGAAGCATTTCCGGACACATGTTTATTAAGAAAAAAGTTTTATTTTTACGAGATCTACTATCCCTAGAAGTTTGTAACAAACCTTTCGTGACACCCTGTATAATTTTGGCCACGTAATTTTTTAAATACAAGGTTTTTAAACTTCAGTTTTTTGTTAGAACTTTTTTGATGTTCCTAATATATATTTAAGCCCTGATGAAGCTCTAAACTTTTGGGTGAAATGTGGGTAGAGACTTAACAGGCCTTTTATTTTTTCATCCTTACCGACGAATCACCTCCTTCATTGAATACCGATAGGACACGAAATTCACTTGTCATAATTACTTAGGGGAAAAAGTGTAGTATAGGGAAATTGATAAAATAATGAATATGGGCTATCAATGACGTCGAAATTATTGCCAATTTCATTGTGTAAGAAATTAAAATTCGTTTTAAACTTAGAGCGCATGCTGTCGGATCATATTATTATAACCGAATCTGCCGATAAAATGGAATGGTGGGTAATGTTGTCAAATGTTAAAAAAAAGTAAATGCAACAATATACTGTTGATCTTCTGACTGCAATAATATATACCCTCATTATCCTTTTGACCATGAAATAAATCATAAAACCCCAAATTTTAAACTTTTTCGAGCAGAGCCGGACAATCAGGTATGACAAATTCTATTTATAATAGGTAGGTATACATACCTGATTATCTAGGTTAATCCGAGTTTTGAGAATATAATCTATATTGCATATCAGGTCAAAATAACCAAAAATATAAATAGTCTATGCACCGAGAGTTAACCCCTAAGTTGTAAAACACGGCATGGCTATAAATCATGCGAAATATAAAGAGAGGACGGGCTCTACCTGAAATTCTCAAAATATTTTGTGGTCATGAAATTTTGTGAAGTAATATAATTTTCACAGATAGGTATTTACATTTCGTATTTATTTAAAATGCAAAATATTCATCTAATGCTGAGTATAGATTATCATCCTTTTATTATTACTACTATTATTACATATTGTTTACAAGTAAAACATAATTATTATCTAACTTAACACAAAATTTTGTTTTGTTTGGGAAGCACTGCTGGTGTACCATTTTTCAAAGTTACTTTAAAATATAATTTTGTCAAGTAATATTTTTTTATGGAGTAAATTTTAAATAGGCAACTACTCTATAGACATTGATTTTCGACGTAGGTAACTCAAAAACTTTAATTATTTTGAAAAAGGACTTTATAGAACTAAATGTAAATTCGTTCACTTGGTCTTGTACTAATTTATTGTCAGCCCTGTGTATTACAACTTACAGGTAACCTCTGGGTGTACCGACTATAGTAGCAACTGATTTAATAATTTTAGTTTTTAGTGGTTTTCCGGAGAGTAATTTTCAATTGGACTTATCTGTGGTATAATGTAGCATCCTTTTGATTTTACTGATAGGGAGGCATCTTACTTACATCTGACATCAATACATTTAAATTATATTATTTTGAATCAATACTTGTTATCGTTATGTTACCCTTACCTTAATCTAAAAGTGTCCAATTATTTTAAATTATGAAAATATATCATAAGATTGAACGATGATAATTTTTATTACCTTTTAAAAAACAAATCTTCTGGAAAACGAAATGAAAAACAAATAGGACCTACGTTGTAGTACTCAATTTTACTTACTGGACATGCACCCGACATAGCAAATATTTGGGAAATTTAAGGGAAGTTGTGATATGTAAAAGAAACGAAAAATTTGTGAAACGTCTACTTTATTATTGAAGTAAATCGTACCGTTCTCATCCTGGAACTAACGAGGGAAAAGAGCGCGGCAGAGAAACCCTCGATCTAACATTCCTCAAAAATCAAAACATAGTCATTTTAATAATTAATTGTGAGTCAATAATTCAATAATTTTAGTCAATGATAGTTTAAATTAGGTACCGTCTTGTGTCTTTGTGCCTAAATTTTAATTACTCACACAACATTTAATCAATACTGAAGAGTTTTTGTTAGTCGGTCTCCCGGAGGGTACTGAGGTCCCATACGGGATGCTACTCAGCTATAGTTGTTATTTTGAGCCAATATCTCTTTCCTTTCTTTGGTAGGATATTCGCTCGTCAGGGTAGGAAAATGTTAGTAAATTCAACAAGTCCCAAATGCACGTTCTGAATACACAAAATCAAAATCTCAGCACAAAAAGACAGCACATAATTTCGTAGGTTTTAATTTACCTCTTTATCTGTTTATTGTACACTGTTTATTGTACACAGCATGAAACGATTTTTGTTAAATACATGAACAATGCACATGCTATAAAAAAATGTTAGAAACAAACAAAAAATTACTTGAAAATTAAAAAATAATACTTGTATAAATTAAACTCTCAAAACAAAATAACATTTAATCAACTAACCTGTGATTGCTCATTGACACACACACTAATAACTGTAATAATTGGATTCAACAATCAGTTTAATACAAAATCACAATTGAAAAATGAACAATGGCGAACAAACGATCTAAAGGGACCAGCCCAGCAGCTTCTTCTCTCTAGTCTAGTCGCGTATTCTCTACCTACCCATCGCTTCGATACTTTTTCTGTTGCGGCACGCTCTCCTTCTCATCAATTTCACAGAGCAATACATGGTTGCATCATTTACTTTTTATTCAGTAAACCTTTTTTAAAAAGTTAAGATTCAAAGAAATAATATTTTAAACAAGTGGTTTTCCTCAATGTGGTAGGTACATTTTTAAGCCGACCCTAATTTCATTTATTGAGCTTTGAAGAGGTTGAGGCCTATACAATAAGGTCTAATCCAGGTAGGTAATTTATTGCAGTAAGAGTCAACGGTATATTGTTGCACCAAATACTACTATACCTTCTGCAAATCTTCCTGTATTGATTTTAATAATTTGAGATTTGTTGTCAGTTTTTAACGAGTCAGGGATTGAGAGTTGGGATATAATTTAAGTATACTTGCTATAAAATTAATAGAATTTCGTTTTAGTGATTCTTAGGGCCGAATTTATACTCGTTCCTTGGAGTTGCGAGTTTAGAATGAACACTTGCTCATCTATTATTTTATTAATTTCCCTATATAACTCGGTTACAAATAATACAGTAATTTTTTAGTCAAAAATTTCCTCTGGAAAATTTCATTTGAAATTCACTATTTGGACTTTAAACAAACGATTCTCATTTAAAAAATAAACATTTTAGGTGACCGAGCTATACTACATGTTTATTTAGGGGGTAAAGTGTTTTCGATAGGTTTCCAAATTCATCTTTTGACAAATGATACATACCTTATCTTTCAACCTTGTGTCCAATTTTCGAAATCGGTACGGTTTTGCACTTAAGGGGTTTAAAATATGAAAAAATTAGCTTTAAATTGAGCTTTTTTTTTCTCAAAATTTTCGATAGGGTTCCACATTCATCTTTTGGCAGGTGATACAGATACATACCGTACCGTGGAAGTTGCTGTGTATCTCACTAACGTAGACAAGTAAATAAAATACATATTTTAAGTGTTAAATAGGTTCCATATACTTAATGGTGTTATCATTTCCAATGTTTCCGATGGTTGCAAGGATTGCGAAATCTGTGATTTTTTTTCCTTCTTACTCTATTGAATATATTATCAAGAAAATATTGAAACCCTTTAAATTTTTTTTAGGTTTAGTATCCTGGGAAGAGTTGCCAAGGCTAAAACCCCATGTAAATGTGACCACACTAATAATTACTCTTGAACAATCTAAAGAATGTATGAGAGGACGCATCGTTTTAAAGTATGCAATATTCAGCACTAATGAGGAAAGTCGTTGTAATATAAATGCAATACCCTATACTTATGAAATAAGTCATAGAAACCAAAATTTAGAGCCAATAACAATTGAGGATCTTCAATACAGTTGTAACTACACGGTTAGAGTTACAGCGTCTAGGTCTAAAGATGAAAGTTATAAGAGTATAAGAGCGTATCCAGAAATTCCCATTGCCATTGAAGCATCAAGTAAGTTTTTATATTGTACAGTTCATTTTTATGAAATATAAAGATTAGTAGTAATAAGACTATAGTCAAAAGATTGCTTTTAGTTACAAATGCCACCAAAATTTGATAGTGTTCTGGCAAGAAAACCCAACATTTTTAGTGCCTTATCTTGATAAAGTTTATGTGGTAATCAAATCGCAATTCATCATCGATTTAAATTCCAAGATCTTTGACTTTATCGACTGTTTCCAAAAGTTGATTATTGATATTATAGGGAAAGAGTATGTTATTTCTTTTTCGGGATATTGTCAGAACACATTTCTTTACATTCAACTCCATATAGTTAGCATTACACCAGGAATAAAGTTTATTAATATCATTTTGCAATTTGCAACACTCATTATCATTTTTCACCCTCATAAACATTTTCAAATCATCAGCAAACAATAAATTACATCCACAAGATCATCAATAAAGACATTAAACAGTAGAGGCACATCATTTTCATGAGATACAATTTTTTTATTTTTACAAATTGTTTCCGGTCAACTGGATAACTCTTAAACCATGACAGCATCACTCCATGAATCCCAAATAGCTCCAACGTATGCAAAAGTATTCCATGGTGCACCCTGGAAAAATCAGTGTAAATTGAATCAATCTGACATCTCTCCTCCAATGACAGAGCCTCACCATAGACTAGCAAATTAGTCAAAGTTGAGCGGCCCTTTACAAATCCATGCTGTTTGGTCGATAATACACCTTGAATGATAGAAGCCATTTTATCACTGATTATAGATTCAAAAATTTTTGGGGCAATACTAACTTTAGAGATAGGCCTATAATTATCAACCAATGATTTGTCGCCTGATTTGAAAAGCGTAGTAATATGCGAGATTTTCCAGCAGTCTGGAAAAGTCAATGACGGATCAGCCCATTCATAAACTCATATTTGTTGTGTTGACAAGACTACCTATGGGCCAGGGGAGGTGAGTTGCTCGCGGGGTCAGGGTGGGGAGACATTATTGCTCAAAATGGTGTAAAAAACCCCGCCCACACGTGAATATATCTCAAAATTTGATTGGATGAATAAATAAAATAACCAATTGACAAATAAACTGAAAATATTCGATACGAGCCCTTTATTCTAGGAGTACCAATATCGTATTGGTCGTTTCTTGTTTAACGCTAATGAATAATCCTCCAACCAACACCTGCCTGCCATTCAACAAGCCGCTTCTGGACAGTGACGCTTTAACCCTTCTCTGGCCCGTAGGTCAATTATTTGGTATGGCCTTTCATGAGTGATTGTTCTTTTTTATAGGGTTTAATAAAATCATTCAGACGATTTCAAACTACTAAGCTGGCAAAATATGAAGACAAAAAATGTTGCCAAGTATAGTATTCTGTAAAATCAAAGAAAGGTACTATAAAATGATGGAACAAGAATGGTCACAAAACATGCTATATGGTCGGAAAGTCCTAAAAGAAAATGATGGCATTGAGCTTCCAGCCTACCAATCACCACATATGGATGCTGGGGACTAAGTGTACTGATGGGTGCTTGGGAAGAACAGCTGCATGGCTTGGGATCAAATCCATTAGCGAGGAAAAAATGCATAAAGGATTGCAACACTGAGGAAAATTCGTACCACGTTGCCTGTGCATGTCCTACAAGCTCAACAACAACAAGGCACGACTTCGTGGTGCACTGGACCCTTAAGACACTGCTCAAGTCCCTGGATGCTCCAGAAGAAGCTCGAAGAAATTACAATTTGGCAAAGCAGCGCAAACACTAAAGGTAGCATTCCGATCCAAGAGACCGCGACAAGCGACCGAGACCGAGCGATCGCGACGTGCGACCGCAACGGACTGCTTTGATAGATTTGTAGGCAGTACAGACCGATGCAAGCGACACGCGACCGGTAGGCGGGCCCAGCTTGCGACAACGATCGCGCGACCGGTCTGCTCTAGAAGCAGTGGTGCTGCGAGACTAGACAGACCTAGAATAGATAAAAATTCTTAAAATGGCAAAGTTTTCTGCCCAGGAGGACGAATTGTTAGTAGATCTAGTATCATTTACTGAACTCAGTACAAAATTGAACTGTTTATGACTGTTTAGTCTACAATACTTCCTGAACTTTCCATCCGATGTTTCATCTTTATACTTCAAATGTCTTTTTTTTTTAAGATAAACAGTTGGATGCATCCCTCATATGATTTTGATATGTAGGTTTGGATCAATTTTTTGTCTTTTTCCTGGCGACAACGTCAACAGAACTATATCCTCTTCTGCTTCGTCTTCCAATAAACGTTTTCTTAAATGTTTTTTTCATTTTGGTGTTTGACGTGGTTTCTGCAAGTTCACACCAATGCAGAATGCAGCAGTATTTTGGGGCCCTGCTGGGTCGTTGGTCCGGTCTCGAGCCGGAGTCGTGTGTACTCGTAAGCTATTTGTCGCCTCGCGACATGAGACCAAGGTCGCAAAGTCGTTCGGTCTCGGTCGCGGCCGCTCGGATTGGAATGACCCCTATACAGTTTCCTGCTGTAGTCGTTTCCAGTTGCCACGTGCTCGTGTGCTGCGCTAATGACGCGAAGGCGATTCAGCGCAGCTCGGTGACTCTAGGGCGTGTTCCGGATTGATGCTTGATGGAGCAAGCGGAGCGATTCCAGAGCATCGTGACGTCAGGCAGTCCACTCTGGCCAAACCAAATGTGCTTGTGCAGTGTGAATTATAAGAATTAAATAGTATTGAAATATATGCTAGTCCTGCTATTAAACAAGTCGATGTTTTTAGTATAGTGGGCTTTTATATTTTATATTGTAAATTAAAGGCCAGCAGTTGGCCTTCATTCTCTAGTGGCCCGTAGGACATGACCTAATTGTCCTAACGGATAAAGTGTCCCTGCTTCTGGACGGTGTTTTGATACAATCTGCTGTTGCCAAATTGAGTTCAGAAATAAAATTGAAAATGTTAATTAGAAAAGGAGAAAAATATATTATTTAGGGATTCAAGACAAAATTTGGCATTCTCAGTGGTGGGGATAGCACAAAGACCCAAAAAAGACAGAGAGATACTGTCATACGAAAATTGTGTTTATTGTTCCGTCTATCTGTGTTTTGATGTCATTGGGAAAAGTACCTATCCGTTGATAAGGATAACCTATAAACTTTCAGCAAAATATTTGACAAAACACATTTACATTCTTTGAATAACTAAAGACTGAAAAGTAAAGAAAATCTGTTTTAAAAAAAGCTAAACTCAATTAGGCCTATGATGCATCCTCTCCTGTTATTTTAACAGTTGTGTTATAGCTCAAAATCTATACCTGTCTCTATTTTAACCTGTAGAATAAACAGAGACAAATAGCTTAACGTTGCTGTCAAGTTAACAGAAAATGATGCATCATAGGCCTGAATAAGAAAAATCTATGTACGAGATACATTAATAAATCAATTATTTTGGGATTATGTATTGAAATATAGGAATACAGTGAGATTAAATTCTCAATTTGTTGTCGATTAATCAATATCTTTTGATAATAGATTTAAGTTAAGCTTTGTCAATAAGATTGTATCTTTGATAATAAAGCAATTTTTAATTTGATTTATATAGTTTACTTAATGACAGGGGCGCCCGCAGAAAAATATGTAGGGGGGGTCAAAATCAATTGAATAAATTTTTTATGCGTAAAAAAGGGCACTTCAGTCTAAATTATCATTTTAGAAGCAGAATCAGAATTTTAAATTCAACATTTGCAAAACAAAATTTAAAAAAAAGGCAGTTTGAAGAGACACAAACTAACACACTTGGACGAGAAGAATTTTAAATGCAACATATGCAATGCAAAATTTAAAGAAAAATTTAAATTAGGAAAATTTAAACAAAAAGGTAATTTGAAAAGTCACATATCAACAGACTTCGATAGTTATCTTTATGAATGTGACTTTTGCAAAGCAAAATTCAGAGGAAAAGACTGTTTAAAGAGACACAAACTAACACAGTCTGATATTTATCCTTTTAAATGTGACACATGCAATGTAAAATTTGAACACAAACGTAGTTTGAGAAACCACATATTAACACACTCGGATGAGGAGAATTTCAAATGTAACATTTACAATGCAAAATTGAAAAGAGAAGGCGATTTGAAGGAACACATATTGATACACTTGGATATTTAATTTTTTTGAATGGAACATTTGCAAATCAAAATTTAAACGGAAACGCGATTTGGAGATACACAAACTAACATATTCGGGTATTTATAAATTTGAATGTGACATTTGCAAGGCAAAATTTGAAGAAAAGTAATTTACAAAGGCACATTTCAACACACTCGGATATTTATCCTTTTGAATGTGACACTTGCAAATCAAAATTTAAATGGAAAGCCGATTTAAAAATTCACAAACTAACACATTCGGATATTATCCATTTGAATGTGACACTTGCAATGCAAAATTTAAGCAAAACCATAATTTGAAAAGCCACATGTTAACACACAGATTGTTTATTATTTGATTCACTTAATAGTGACGTGTGTTTAGCTCCGGGATCCTTGAACTCAGCCACAAAATTCACCAGTTCCGGAATAAGGAAGGGGTGACAATTTATCAATATGCAAATCGGTACACTGAGATATAGATAATAAATCAACTTATTCACTTCTTATAAATAGCTAAAATCTCAGGCATGGTAGAGGAAGATCCAAAACTTAGGCTTAAGCATTGAATATAAAAAAAAAGATTCAGGAATCGGTAAATCGTTACATAATTGTTTCGGAATGATGTTTTTGGAGAATCAAGAAGTTAGCGATTTCTTTGTTTTCGAGTTGTTAGCTATTCAGCCGAATCACGAAGTTCTAGTTAAATTTTCAGATTATCTCATCGACACATGGCAAATGCCTCGATAGACCTGGATAAGAAAACAAATTCCTGTGAATCTTTCCATAGTCATTTTGGTAGATCTTTTTATTTTGCGCATGAAAATACATATTTACACTTTTTTAGATTTATTA